TAAGAGATGTTGTTTCTTTCATGATGTATACCATGTTATATACAATATCAAATAAAGAAATGATGCTTACCTATGAGAGGAAACCCCCCAAAAAAAAAAATATTTTAGAAATTTTAAATATTTCTTAATATTTTGTACTTAGCTTTAAAAGATTATATAATTTAATAAAAATATTAAAATTTTATTAAAATTTAATTTCATTAAAACATTTATTAAATATTCTTCTTTTAAAGACTTTTAGAAAATTTGTTTATAATAAACAAAATAGCAGAATATAGAAAAGAAATATAGAAAACTCTTTGACATTTGGCTTCAAATTATTATCAATTATTTTATATTCTAATATGATCAATTATAATACTTTAAAAAAAGTTTATTATATTATATATATATTATACTAAATAATATACCAATATAAACATGTAATAAATCTGATGCAAAACAATTATTGAAATATTTTTCAATAATAAAATCTGAAAATATAACAGAAAAACAATTAACAAATTTTAAAAAATTATTTATAAATCTTTATAAATTTTTGAAAATTTTCTAAAACTATTAATTTTATTATAAGATAGTCTTAAGTTGTTGATACTTATAATATATGGTAATATGAATTCTAATTAAATATAATTTTTAATTAATTTACTATATTTTTAATAGTAATACAGTTTTTGAAAAATGTTCAAATTCAATTCCATTATATGGATAGTCTCAACCTTTTAATAAAATTGAAACTCTTTACAATAATAGCAGATTGACAAGAAACATTAACTTTTTGTTTAATATATAAATTATTAAATTCAAATTATTCTTATTACTTTTATTTTATTATAAGAAATAATTTTGCAAATATTAATTTATTAAAAAAGATATTATATTGTTACACTTGATTTTTATTCAAGATCTTTACTACTCCTTATTTGAAATTTTAATAAGTTTTTAAAAATTTTTAATAAAATTTTAAATATTAATTTTTATAACCTACTTATATTATAAAAAATATAGTTTAAGATACTCTTTATTAATTTTATTAAGTAAAAAATTAAATTTTTATTGAAAACTTTCAAAATAAATAACTTTAAACTTCATGTTTAAATTTTTTAATATCAAAAATTATATAAAATTTAGTATATGTTTAAAGTAAAAAAAGTAGTTTACTTCTAATACAAATTAAAATTTTTATAATTAAACCATTAAAATTGTAATAATTAAAATTATTCTTTACAAATAATTCTACAAAGCTAATTATAATTATATAAACTTTAATTAAAAAAATTTTTAAGTTTATTCAAAATCAACTTTTATTAAAAAAATTTTTGCTTATAATTAAACTTTAAATTCTTATTAAATAAATAAAAAATAAATATTATCAATAGATAACATATAATTAAAATCAATATTATATAAATTTTTAGAAAAATATTTTAATTATTTAAAAAAAATAAATGAAAAGCAACTTTTTAGTTAAATGTTATAAAAAAAATATTCTATGATTTAAGGGATAAAATATTTTTCTTTTTTCAAATTTTTAATATTTGTTTTTTAATATTCTAATATTTTTGTTACTTCTCTTTATTTTTTTCCTTTTTTCCTTTTTTCATATTATTTTTATAAGTTTTTTGATTTTTGTCATTATAGCTGTAATGGTTTTTTCAATAGTTTTGTGACTTCTTGAATTACTAATAGTATTGTATATGATATAAAATCTTTGATTGCTAAATGCAGTGGTTCTGCTAATCCCTTTCTGGCCCTTGTGCTGATTTCCTTTGCAAATATATATTGTCTGTTTGTTGATATGTATTCCGATTTTTTGCATATTTAGATATTATGGTGTAACGGGATAAGCTGGGGACGCGAGTCATGTCACGTGATATATCGTCGCGACGGATACCGTGAGAGTTGGCGGTGCACGACTAATTGTAGGAAGGAAGGGAGGGATTGTGAAAAATAATTATGTAAGTTAGACTTAGCTTCGTCAAGACTTACTTATCGTTCTTGAATGTATCGCCGCATTAGCCTCTGTAACAAAAAATGTATAAAAGAAGAAAATACTCGACCAAATCAAAACACGCCTCCTTCACTTAATTATTATTCCCCGTATCCGTGTTTACGCGAAATTCTGTCATCCTTAGTGACTGACTCGCTGTTACACCCCACAATTGCTTCTATACCTCAACAATATACACTAAGAATTCATCCTTTTTATTAATTTAATTTATTAGTAGTATTCAATTCAAGATATCTTCCTCGAACAAATAAAAATAAATCATGATATTATAATATGATATTTCTTATAAGGTTTTCCATTATCAAGATAATTGTATATTAACTATTAATATTATTTCGAGGTTTAATATTAACATTTAATTCCTTAACAGTTCTGAAAACAGTAAAATCACACTCCAACGAAGAACTTGGGTTTACCAACTCGATATCCCAATTCCTGAATGCCAATACTAACAGGCATTTCAGCTCGATCATTACTAGTTTTCTACCAGGACACTGTTTTAGCCCACCACCCCACGCCAATAAATTATGCTTCTTTTGCTGACTTTGTCCATCGGTATCGATAAACCTATCAACATCAAATTTTTTAGGATCCTTCCAATAATCTTCACTTAAATGAACTCCAGGCGTAAATATAATATAATTTGTGCCCGCGTCTTGTCTAGTATTTTCGATTATATCCGACTCAGAGCTAATGCGGCTTAAAAAAGGTACTATATTTGCTATACGAGATACTTCTTTGATCACAGCATCGCAATAGGTCAAGCACGATAATTCTTCAAATGTAATCGGCTTGTTTTGACATTGAGTATACAAATCGTCGATTTCTTTGCATAATCGACTTTTGACATCCGGGTAACGAGAAATGTAATAAATGGCAAAGTTAAATGTACTTGCGCTCTATTAGGAGAAAAAATTGATCAACATAATTAAATAAGCGCATTGTAATAAGTAGGTGATGAAAATATCTTACGGTGTCAATTCCACCTCCTAAGGCCTCTAGAATAATTCCACGTATTTCTTTATCCGTTAAAGGCTCCGTATATTCATTATTTTTATCTTTCACATCAGAGATGCTCCTATCTGTGTTGGCCGTAATTAATAGAGTTAACATATTATATTTTAATCTCTCATCTTTCGGCGTATCCTCGATCTCTTTCCTTCTCTCCTGAATAATATCTTTCAAATCTTTAAACAGGTAATCACGCGCTTGTAAAATATTATTTTGTTCCACTCTAAAATTGGGGAGATATTTTCTTATCCATTTGGGAAATACAATAAAGAAGAATATACCACTAAGAAAAGTTTCAAATGCTCGTGATATCTTAGAGGATTTTTTCATATTTTCTTCATCAAATTTCTGCAATTTTATTAATTTTGACTTGGACGAAATGGTTGAAAAATACGAAGCTGTGGTCCACAATTTCTTTCCAGTGATCATTTGAAATATGACGTCCGTGGTGATAGTACGTGACAACTTGGAAAAATCAATTATAACATCATTTCCCAATGTCAACTTACTATATTCATTCATCTCATTAAATGCCGCTTGAGTGCAACCCACGGCTTCCCTTAAGAAATCTGTCGTTTGTACTGCCTGAGTAAAAAATTGCCTGTTAAACCTCCAATTATCAATATCATGGTTTAATAAAAGTCCAGTTCCGTAAATTCCTAAATCCTTTAAACCTTCGGGATCATGGACTCTAATCAAATATTTACTTTTAGTTGATGACGAGAAAAGAATATCTAAATATTCTGGTTTGGTAACAAATATAATACGTTTTCTTCCATGCCATTGCTCAAAGATGTGCCCATATTTGGAATGTATAGTACAGCAATACTCATAATAATCCTTGCCGGCAATAAGATGATCAAAGAGGTGACCAACGAACGGAAGAGGAAAAGGAGCAGGAAGAGGATTTTCTCTCGTGTAATACTTGTAGTAATAATTAATTATGCCTGCAGCGAGTAATGCTAAGCACAATCCGAATAAATCATGGAGCTCGAAAGAAAACCTTAAAAACTTCATATTCGCGAAGAGACTCCGTGAAAGCTCGTATGACATGCACTAATATATGGGTAATTATTTTTGAAGGCGGACCGGAAATTTTCTGGCGTGATCCTAAAATTTATATTGGATCCGAAAAAAT